GTTATCACGCAGTCTGTTCTTCTTCTCTGGTTATCACGCAGTCTGTTCTTCTTCTCTGGTTATCATGCAGTTCGTTCTTCTTCTCTGGTTATCACGCAGTTTTTCAAAGTTACGTTAAAAGACCGGAGCGATAAGCGGTATCGATAAAAGTAGTAGTACCGTTAAAACCTTAACGATCCCCACATCGGAGTACTTTCTATACTTCAAGTGCAGGAAGTTGATACTTTTACTCAAGGGAAGATCCGAGGATTTTTTCCACCGCTGCCGAAATGGAGCTAAACCGTGAAAATAAAACGGCACCAGCTTTGTAATAAAGCTTTCCTTATCAATAAATAAATGGACCCTTCACATCAATAACATCCTTCACATTTTTAACGCAGATCGTCCTTCAGGTTTCTGTAATTCTGCAGGCTGTGACGATATTAACTTTAACGTCTTGAAAAATGAAAAAGGATGCTCATGAATTGAAGAAGTTTTCACATATATTATAATTGTAATTGAGTCCGGGACATAAAGTGTGCAGTTCTCTGCGTGTCCACAGGGGGGCGAGTGAAGTCTGTTTAATGTTCTTCAGTTATCTTTTATGAACAAAAGTAACCCGCTAAATGTAATATCACTCTGCAGAATGAGTACTCTTACTTCTGATAGTTTAAGTACATTCTATTTTCATTAGCCTTTGTAGTGTTGATATCTTTGAACAGAGTATTTGTACTCTGGAGGATTACAGGTCATTCAGTGTTTTCCTTTGCAGGTCAGGAACGTTCAGAGCCACGCCTCCTGAGGCGCTGAACACACCGAGCCGATCTCAGCCGTCCATAGATGTCTGGCCGTTGATGAGCGTCCTGTCGCCCTAATCAGATTGGGGTGTCCCGCACCGTTGTGTCTTTTCGGCCGTGCCGACACCTTCCGCTGCCGGAAAAAGAAATCACTCTGATTGGCTGTTCAGCTTAGCGAATCAGTGCATGAGAAGCGAAACGGAAGTGAGGTACGCAAACAAACGATTAGGCACACACAGACGGCTGTTTTCTTTCATTTTCATCTCACCTGGACGCAAGAAACCAAAGACCAACTCATCAGCACACGCCGTTTGTTTCTATCACGCAGTCTGTTCTTCTTCTCTGGTTATCACGCAGTCTGTTCTTCTTCTCTGCTGTTCTTCTTCTCTGGTTATCACGCAGTCTGTTCTTCTTCTCTGGTTATCACGCAGTCTGTTCTTCTTCTCTGGTTATCACGCAGTCTGTTCTTCTTCTCTGGTTATCACGCAGTCTGTTCTTCTTCTCTGGTTATCACGCAGTCTGTTCTTCTTCTTTGGTTATCACGCAGTCCGTCTTCCGGTCGCCTCTTTTGAATGACGAACACACACTACCGCCGCCTGCTGGTGAGGAGAGTTATTGCCACTCACGCATGCGCAGTGCGTACGTGCTCCTTGGCCGTCGGCTGATGTCTTGGCGGTGTGTTTCAGTGCGACACATGGCCGAGACGCAGGAGACGTGAGGCGACGCCACAGTCGGGTCCGTCGGGACGTGTTCTTTGGTGTCGGCGACCTTTATTTAGAGCGAGGGTTAAATGGAGGGACACTAAACCCTAGAAAAAGTCCAAGATTTACGAGAAAAATACTAGTCAACAAACATGTTGTTCCTTAACAACAAAAAACACTATTACCAAGTGGTTTACTTCCAACGATGTGACCCAGAGGATCTGGATCTTCTAATGAATGTTTTTGGGACCTTCGAGCATTTCAGTTATTTCTCATTCATATAAAAAAGTGTTTCCTCTTGTAAATAAAGGAGTTTATAATCTACGTTTTAAAAAAAAAATTTAATCCTAAATGTGCCCTTTAATTATCTGTGTCTCTAAACTGTGTGGATTTCTGATTGTTTGAATATTATTTAAAAGCCAGTGAAACATTGACACAGATAATAAACGCACCTTCTTAGTGACGCTGCAGGCGGAGGAGGGAACGGAGAGTTCAGAGAAGCCGCTGTCCAGACGCTCCTCTGCCTCCTCCCTCCTGTACTGGGGAGGAGCAGCCGGGTTGGGGGGGGGGGAGGAGGAGACAGCCTTCCTGGTTCTGGTCCTGGTCCTGGTTCTGGTCCTGGGCTCCTGAGTCCTCATGGGTCCCTGGAAGTTGAAGGGGCTGTAAGGGTCCGAGCAGCTGAAGGAGCTCCACAGACGGAGACTTTCTGCTTCGTCTGCCTCACTCGCTGAGGTGGAATCATCCCAGGAGTCACTGCCCGATGGGGGGGAGGAGACAGCCAGGGGGGAGAGAGGGAAAGGGAGGAGAGAGGGGGAGGGGTCGGGGGAGGAGTCACTGGAGGAAGGAGGGATGTTTCTGGGAGGAGAGGTGGCCGTGTGCAGCGGAGCCGTGAAGTTTCGGGGGTCGTACGGGTCAGCGCTGCGACCCAGGTATCTCCACAGACGCTCAGAGTCTGAGTCTGAGTCGTCCGTGGAGTCGGAGAGATCGGACGAGTCTTCGCTGTTGAAGCCGTCATCGTCATCATCTTCCTCAGAGCTGGACCCCCCCTCGGAGCTGTCGTCGCTGCAGGGTTGTCCCATGATGAATGCGATTGCTTTGTTCTGACAGCGGTTCGGACCCTCTTCTACCTCCACTGATAGACCCTCTACCTCCACTGATAGACCCTCTACCTCCACTGATAGACCCTCTACCTCCTCTGATAGACCCTCTACCTCCACTGATAGACCCTCTACCTCCTCTGAAGTCTCTTCAGTGGGACTACTTTCTGCGGCACGCTGCTGCTCTTCAATCGGAGCGTTCACCATGTTCACCTGGAGGAACGGATCAATAATAAAGAGTCATAATCTGGATAACTGATCAGTACACACACACACACACACACACACACACACACACACACACACACACACACACACACACACACACACACACACACACACACACACACACACACACCCCTTAATGTTCAGAAACAGCTCACATATCACCCTCACACACACAGCATGCATGTACAGTACGCACTCTTCTGCTACTTGTGAATGACCGCAGTGGCTTTCTTGTGTTTTTGTTGGCAAATGCACCACAGCTACATCCTCCCTCCACACGCAGACAAACATCCTATCAGGAATTCTCTGGCTGCCTCTGTGGAAGTGGCAGCTGATCTTCATGGCAGAGCTACAATCGAGCCTGCAGTGTGAAAGCCATCCACCTATTTATCACAGCGATCGCAGACATGATGTGGTGGCAGGGGAATGTGCTGCCACACACCCCACCTACGTATCTACTTTCTTCTCATCCTGCCTCTCATTTTACTTTTTTCTTTCATCTTGTTTCCCGCTCATCAATCTTTGACTATCTCTCCCCCCCTTCTGTTCACACCCCCACACACCCTTTCATCTCTTTGTCTCTCAATTTTTCTTCTTTCTGCCCTTGTGGACAACACACACACACACACACACACACACACACACACACACACACACACACACACACACACACACACACACACACACACACACACACACACACACACACACAGATAGATGCTTGTGCACCAAAACTCATTTTACGGCAAATTGTTTATTCCTGACATTGAGGAACAGTACACACACATACACAATAATAACAATCCTATAAGAGCCGTTAGCCTGTAAATGTACATTATGAAGATATTCTGGATCATAGTTATTTCTGTGGGCCTGCCAATGTTTCTGTCATATGTGGAGTTTAACATGCTGAACAAAATGTTTTAGTATAAGACGCATATTTTTAGCAAACATCCAATGGAAAAGCCCCATTAGCTTTTTGTTGAGGAGACCCCTTGGCATGCTAACTTCTCTGTTAATATCAACACTGCAATATTTAGCCCAGTATACTTCTGGCTGAATAGCAGATTAGCTGATGGTTAGAAACACATCTCTTATCTATAGGCTTTTACGTAGCTTGTGTTGTAGCACTGCAGTGAAAATAAAAGTGGCACCAGTTAATATTTCTTCTGTTTCTTGTTATTACTGTAAGTCAGTGGTTCTCAAACTTTTTCTGTCAGGCCCCCACTTTGGAGAAAAAAAAAGTCGGGCCCCCCCCCCCNCATCAGTTCATCAAACACTCCGAGCTGGACATTCATATAACATGCTTTCCCCAGCTAGCTCTGGGCATAGACTCAGAAGTAATAAATCACATACTGTATGTTTTATGAGCTAACTGGCCCAGGGTTGTAAAGAGGGTTGTATTAAGACAGTTGCCTCAGATACTGAAGATAGGATTTGTTGAATTTTTAATCATGTCTTTAATTCTGCATTACTCACCAGCGCATCACCCATATATTAGGAATTGCACGTCTTATTTTATCCTCTAAACCTTAAAACATATGTATTTCCAAAAAGCCAGTGTGAAAACAAACTCTGGCATGTATTGCTTTAACGGTATAACTTTAACATTTGTACATTTTTAAATCCCATACACTTTAAATATTCTCAACAGTACTTAGGAGCCGCTTATCATTCAAATGGTGCATGCAACGATGCACGCACACACACACACACACACACACACACACACACACACACACACACACACACACACACACACACACACACACACACACACACACACACACACACACACACACTCTCTCTCTATCTCTCTCACACACAGACACACACAC